GGGATAAACATCTTTACTACTAGAGCTAGATAATTCTAAAGAAATTAAACTTTAAGAATAAAATAGAAAAGAAAACTATAAGAAAAGTAACTTTTAAAAATAAAGCTAAAATAATAGCTCTAGCACCTGTAAGAACCCGGTAAGAAAGCTTATTACTAACTCCCCTAAATAACACCCTATAAAATAAATAAAAGACTAAAGAAGATATAAAACTACCCTCTATAATTACCGCCCTGCTAAAAACAGTATATAAAAAAGACCCTATCCTACTATTAGTTCTAAAAGCCTTAGAAGAAGAATACCGCTATTATATAAAGCTTATATTAGCTAAATACTAGAAAAAAGGTAGATATCTATACTATTAAAACTGCCTATATATACCTAACTATAATAAACTAAAAGTAGAACTTCTGCGTATATACTATAGGAACGCTATTACCGGCCACCCTAGAAAATCTAAAATATATAGCCTAATAGCCTGCAGTTACTACTAGCCCGGAATACTACCTTATATAGACTGTTAGGTTAGGAACTACTAAATATATAAAAGAACTACTTTATTATAAAAAGCCTACTAGGGTATTCTAAAGCTGCTACCTATTCCTAAAAAAGCCTAGCGTAATATATTAATAGATTTTATTACGCACCTGCTGTATAGCGGAAAATATAATATAATCCTTATTATAGTAGACCGCCTAACTAAAATAAAACACTTCCTTGCCTATAAAGGGACCTGCAATACGGAAGATATTATAAAACTTTTCCTAAAAAATATCTAGAAACTATATAGCCTGCCTGCCTCTATTATATCTAACTAAGGGCCCTAGTTTATAGCTAAATTCTAGAAATACCTAACTAGCCGCCTAAGAATTAACTACCTACTATTAACTATATACTACCCTAAAACTAATAGCTAGACCGAAAAAGCTAATACTATTCTAGAATAGTACTTACAGGTATATATATCCTATTTATAGGATAACTAGGCTAAATAGCTGCTTTTAGCTAAACTGTTAATTAATACTATAAATTCTAAAAGCACTTATATCTCCCCTTTTTTTATAAACTATAGCTTCTACCTATATTTAGGTTTTAAGCCGGTTAAACTGTTAACCCGCCTGCCTGCTAGAAATACTAAGCGCTTTACTAAGTATATAGAAGAGATTCTAGAATATCTAAAGTCTAAACTTACTGCCTTCTATGCCTAATATAAGGATAATATAAACTATAACTATTGCCCTGCTTATAACTATTAAGTTAACAACTTAGTATAGTTAAATACTAAAAATATTAAGACCCTCCGCCCCTAGAAGAAGCTAGATTAGAAGAATTTTAGACTGTTCCGCGTAGAGAAGGTTGTTAGCCCTTACGCATACTGCCTAACCTTACCGGAGAGCATGCGCAACTACAACATCTTCTACGTTAGTTTACTAAGACCTGCCGCGAATAATCCGCTGCCCGGCCAGCGTTAAGAACCACCGCCGCTAGTTGAAGTTAAAGGCTTGGAGGAGTAGGAAGTCGAGGAAGTTATTAACTCTCGATGGGAGCGTCGCGGTTGTGGCCGCCCCCGCCTGAAGTACACGGTGAAGTGGACCGGATACAACAAAGTCACAGAAGAGCCCGCTGACTATCTGGAACATGCCGAGGAAGCTATCCGGTCGTTCCATCGCCGTTACCCTGAAAAGCCCGGTCCTTAGGCCTCAACGGAGTTCGGCCGTAGGGAGGGGAGTACTGTTACAGCTTAAACGGTGAAGCTTGCTGCACAGCGTAACACGTGATGTTAGGACCCGGCGAGAGGCCTTGTTGCAAGGGCCTATGCGAGCCTTGGCAGGAGTATACCTGCCGACCGCCGCCCTGCCTCCTTGTAGCTCCTTAAGCTACGTCTTGTTATTCAACCCGCCTGCCTGCCGTGCATTATAGAACACGTAGTGAATTCAGTTATTACTTCTACCTACCTGCCCGAGCTAGCTAGGGCAATCCTGCCGCCCGAGACCGTGATATATTCTATTTTTTTGCAGAGTAAATTAGTTATATAAGCGGTAAATAGCCTATTTAATAGCAAGTTTTCTAGTTATTTTCTGCTATAATAAGAAAATTCCTAATTAGCTAGAATAGGCTATTTGCTAAATTTGGCGAAACCTTAGCAAAGGGGATAAAGCTAGGCGCGTAGGCTATTATTTATTCTATCTATAATACTAGGCGTATAGGCTATTATTAATACTATATCTATAGACTATAGTCTCTATACTTATAATAGTAAATAGGTATAATACTAGGTACGCAGGCTGTTATTAATACTATTATACGCAGACTATAGTTTTGTCACGGTATCGACCGCGACACCCTACCTACCGAAATTCTGCCGCAGATTGCTACAACTCCAGCAATCTGCACCGGCCTACTACCGTTGGCCGGCCTCCTGCCCTGCCTGCCCTGCTCCGCTCCCGTCTCGCTTCCGCTTCCTATCCTGTCCCGCTCCATCCACCTACCGGCTGCCCCCTTTTCCTATCACCTGATCTGGTAAGGACCTCGCGTACACGCGTGCTACGCGCCGAAACGGCATAGAGGCCGTACGCCACGCGCTCGGCCACGCCCTTATATCCGGTGGCCCGTCTCCCGTCTTCCTGTTCCTTACACAACGTCTTAATTCTCCACGTAGCATTGTATATAGCACCTAATCAACGCTCCTCTTTAAGCCCTCGACCTCTTGCGTATAGCGCTATCGTAACAAGTTTCTATATAATATAATAGTAAAATAGGGTTAATACTAGGCGCGCAGGCTATTATTAATACTATATACGCAGACTATAGTCTCTATACTTATAATAGTAAATAGGT